ACTTGTTATACACAGTTATTAATATTTAAGAACACTATAGGCGAAGAGCTGTTGTGGGAACTTGAGCTTTGTGGGAACTCACTTTGAAGAAAATACACTAAACAGGCAGAATAATTTAATCTCCAATCAACTTTACAAATACAGTGAATATTATATACAAGTGTGTGGTGAAGAGCACTTACCTTCATCACACACTAACTGCATGACAATGGGCCATTTACTTAATTTCTGCCAGCCCAACTTCCTTATTTTTACAATGATATCTACTGCATATGGCTATTGTGAGGCTTACATGAGATGGTGTATGTGAAGCACCTACAGCACAGTCGGCTCATAGTCGGCATTTAGCTATTAGCTCCTATAGGCTATCACAGTGGGTTGGTGTACCATGTCTTACATATGTAAGAATTTTCATAACGAAGATAAGAGTCTATTTCATTCATGCTAAAGATGTTTGGGGGAGGTTGAAACATAGATATAGATTCTTTGTAATTATGATTTTTATATATTTCATCTTAGAATTCCCTTATAAAACAAAAGTGATTGACAAAATAAATTATACCACATGATTTTTACATTTAAGTAACAAACTCAAAGACTCTAGGTCTGTAATAACATTAAGAGATTAATTTCTAAAAAATAAATTTTCTCTGTTTCTCCCCTTATTTACATTTGAACCTCCTAGCTTTCTCACCATGGCCTTCTTCCATGACAGAAGTGGTTCTCTCTTCTTATTTTTCTAGAAGCAAAGTCTTGTGTCAACTTCATTCAGCAAAACAATAAAAATTAACATTTATAATGGTGCAACCTATTAAAAATCAGAATGTTGCTATTATCTCAATTGAGACACAGAAATTAGATTTTTTTTTAATTGTAAACTCATCTGAGATAAGGGGTAAATTTCCTAGAGGCTAAAACTGAGAATAGGGATTAAGCTTTTCTTCTAAACAACATTCAGTATTAATGAGCTCTTTTTTTTTCTAATTGTATGTTTTAGCCCAATTTTTGAATGTGTTCAATGATTCTATTAATAAAATACTAAAAACCTAGTCGGGCATGATGGTGCATGCCTGTGATCCCAGCAACTCAAAAGGTTGAGGCAGGAGGAGGATCACAAATTCAAGGACAGCCTTAGCAATTTAGTAAGGCCCTAAACAACTTAGTGAAACCCTGTCTCAAAATAAAAAAGGGCTATGACTAAGCATCCCTAGGTTCAATTCCTGGTACAGTTAAGCAAACAAAAACAAAATGAAACAGAACTAGAAGTAGAATCAATGATTATATGATTTTAAAAGATAGATTGATGAATATTTGAAATGCCTAACAAAATGAAAGGAAAACATATGCTTTAATTAAATTTACTTGCATGTTAATAAAACAACCATGTAGTTTTTCAAATTATGAAATCTTCTGCCTTATAGATTTTTTATGCTATAAAGAAGGGGACATTGGGCAATGTCTGGAGACATTTTTGGTTGCCATAACTGGGAATGAGGGCCTGGAAGGTGCTGTTGGCATCTAGTGGGTACAGTCCAGGAGTACTTCTAAACATCCTACAGTACACTGGATGCCCACCACAATGACATTATGTGGCTCCAAATGTCAACAACATGAAGGTTTCTCAACCTTGCACACTGTTACTTTTCTAGATGGACTCATATCCAAGGGTGCAGACTAAAATCAAAAAGAAGGATGAAAGGACACTTATACATTTTTCTTGCTTTTGTTTCTTCTCATAAGGTTTACATATCTTCCAGTTTCAATAAGAAATATGCAAAAGCACATGAAAGTAAATCTGAATCCTACTCCTTTTTTTCTGGTACATGCTCTGAAGTACTTGATTCATCTTAGGTCTTCTTATGA